AAATGAACAGGATCTTTCATAACAGTCCAGTATATAAGCATGTCTACTACGGTTACCATCTCTGGAAATAAATCAGAACTGGTCTCGTATTTTCAACCACCTCTTCATTTATCTGATCAATACGAGTGCGGTTTACTATACTTTTCAGTATTTAATTCAAGACCAGATATTTCAGTTAAAACTAGTAATCTGTCTGTGATCAAAATTGAATGTGATCTTGTGTACGGTTCATACTGCAATGGATTACCAACACATTTTATTCATGAATTTGTATCAGATACTGCTCTAAGTCATGGTTATAAAGAAATACCACAAAACGTTATTTACTTTCCAGTGAACAAAAATATAATTTCATCCATATCTGTTAAAATTGTTGATCAATTTGGTCACTGTATTAACTTCGAAGAAGAATATATTCAGTTACGTCTGCACTTAAGAAAAACAAAATGATAGTATATTATAAAAGCACTCCAGTAAAAATAAATCGGTTTATTTCTTCTGCAACCGCTAAGGCGCAAAGACGTAATACAAAAATTAAGAAACTGACTAAAGCAAATAAAGATTTTCTTAAAGCTCTGGGTTTTAAAGTATGAATATGCTACAGATTACTGAATTACCGCATTTCGACAGTTCGATTGAAAGTTATGAAATCCATTCGTACAATCCCTACAATAACAGCTTTAGAGAAAACGATGAAATCAGAATCCCCATACATCAGCAAGATATATACGTGCTACCATCAGCCAGTTCAATTTACATCGAAGGACAGGCAAGGCTGTTCGGTAAAGATGGGAATCCGATCAAGAAAACTGTTACGTTCACTAATAACCCTGTTATGTCTTTGTTTCAAGACATCAGATACGAAATGAATGGTATCGAAATAGACCGTATTAAAAATTCAGGAATTACGTCAACAATAAAAGCATACATTTCATTAAATGAAGCAGAAAATAAAGTTGCAGCCTTATGGGGTTGGAACTTAGCGGGATTCCAAAATGATGGACATTTTAGTGCTGTGATACCATTGAATAAGATTTTAGGGTTTGCAGAAGATTACAATAAAATTGTGATAAATTGTAAACACGAACTTATTTTGAGTAGAAGCAACTCTAACTTAAATAGTGTTATTCTCACTGATGATGTTGTTAATTTTCAAATAGATATACAAAGAGTCCAATGGAGGGTGCCACATATAAAAGTGTCAGATCGAGAACGACTAACACTTTTAAAACATTTAGAAAGAGATAAACCTATTCAGATGGCTTTTAGAAATTGGGATTTATATGAGTATCCCTTGCTACCTAAAACTACAAAGCATTCTTGGTCAGTTAAAACAGCTTCACAATTGGAAAAGCCTAGATATGTTATATTTTGCTTGCAAACTAATAGGAGAAATAATAGGACTAAAGACAGTTCACTATTCGATCATTGTGAAGTGACCAACGTAACACTCTTTTTGAATTCGCAATATTATCCCTACGAACCTTTGAGTTTAAAGTTTTCTGAGAACAAGTACAGTATATTATATGAAATGTATGTGAAATTTCGTCAGTCGTATTACAACAGTCCTGTTGACCCATTGCTAGATCTAACAGATTTTAAAGAAAAGGCTCCCCTTTTCATCTTAGATTGCTCAAGACAAAACGATAGTTTAAAAACCGGTCCAGTGGACGTGCGGTTAGAAGTTGAATGTTCCACACCAATACCAGATAAGACAACTGCGTATTGTTTGATTATAAACGATCGACTTGTGGAATACAAACCTCTCAGCAACATTGTGCGCAGATTATCATGATTGCTGTTGTTGATATTCAAGGATTTAGAACAGAAGCAGGTGAATTTATATTAAAAGAAATCGCTATATTGTGTAACAAAAAACTACAAGTGTTTTTAGTTAAGCCACCATTTCCATTTAAAAATTTAACGGAATCTGAAAAGAAGGTAGTTCTTTGGATTCAACGTAACAAAAAGATATACTGGAGTGAAGGATTTGTACCTTATTCCAATTACCAGACTTTGGTTTCCGATATATTAAGAGATAAATGTGTTTATGTTAAAGGTTCAGAAAAAGTTTTATGGTTAAAGCATATTTTAGAAAATAGTAATAGTAATATATTTAATTTAGAAGATAAGGGTTGTTCTAGTTTAGTACATTTATATGATCAATATAAACATTCGCAAGATATGTATAATTGTATTTATCATAACTCTGTATGTGCTTTAAAAAATATATTGTGTTTAAATAAATGGTGCCATGATAATAAAATTTTTATGAAATAAAAAAACTTGTTTAATTTTTTATAATATGTTTACTATCTCTCCCAATCCTGTACAATCACGTTTATAAATTGCTTGCAGCATTAAAGCAATGTCATTTTATGTTTATAATTATTAGCATCAAGAACTAGTACCAAATAAATAAAATATGTTTCAAACTGAATATAAACCTCGATATGATATGTATAATGCATACAAAATACGTGAATTATCCTTTAATTATTACTGGGGGACGAATAATTCAAAGAAAAGATTAGTGATGGAAATGGCTGATGCTGGATTCTTTTATTACGGAAATAATCCATATGATAAAGCAGCATGTTTTTCATGTGGAGGCGTTATAGAAGATTGGGAAATTTATGATGATCCTTGGATGCAGCATGCTATAAATTTTCCACAGTGTTTTTATTTGAACGCGGTGAAAGGGGGGGAATATGTCAATAAGTGGCAAAACATCATCAAGAATTGTGTTAGTGAGAAATCTTGCATATATGGAAGCGCATCGAATGAATGATGTCACACAATATACGTCTCATTAATGTAAACAAAGTGCATGAAGCGGTTCGCTATTTTGTTACATATTCGACGACACGTTTGGCTTAATGGTTAAGACCCTGGTCACAACTGAGTGCAATATTATAACACGTTCTTCAACCACAAAGACGAAGTGTCGTGGGTTCAATTCCCACACAGACAAGTTGATATTAGTTCTGGTCTGGTTTTTTGTTTGAGTTTAAATGAAGTTTTCACAATAACATTTAATTTAACCGCTGAATATTATGATCAAGAAACAGATTAAAATAATATGTTAGTAGAAGATTAAAATGTGGAAAATAGGGTATCCAGATCTCTGATCTGGATGCCCTATTTTCTAACTACTCATGCACAATTCAATCATAGGTAAAGATAAATTACTAATAATAGAAACAAATTTACTGTGGGCATGAAACCTTATTTTTTTTTAATTGATTAAGTAATCATCATTTTTAAAAAAGATCTGTAATGTCCATCACATTAAAAGCAATTGCTTTGTTGTATTCTATTTTCATATACAACATTCCATCTATAATAAATAAAGATGAAAACTATTTTGCATCAAGCAAAAAAATTGGTAAATTGTGTTTTTTACCTTTTTTTTAATAACCTACCCTTTTAAACCTTTTTTAATACCTTAGATCAAGTTTGGTGAATGAATAAAGTGATAGATTTAAATGTAACTTGAATGAATTTTTTGATTATTTAATAGTATTCAAACTATAATTTTAACCACTTCGACTGCACGGTTGGTGCGGTGGGTGGACAACTGGCTGCCGTGCAACGTGTCGCGGGTTCGATTCCCGCACGGAACAACTCTTTGTGTGATCCACAAATTGTTGTTCCGGGTCTGGGTGTCATGTGTATGTGAAATTGTATGTTTGTAACCGCACCCATGACACAGGAGAAAATCCTAATGTGGGGCAACGTCTATTTAAAAAAATGAAATGAAAAAAAATGAAAACCAATTCAAAAAGGAGGATGTATAATCCTTTTAGGTACTTAGGCTGAATAATATAAATGTTTGTGTTACCTTTTTAATTCTGAAATTATCTTTGTCTATTATAATTTACTTAGTTTAAAAGTAACAAGTTTTATTTAATACTGTTTTTAAAGTGCCCTTAGATGTATTGAATTATATAGATACATTTTAGGTAAGATATAAATAATATGTTCTTTATTATTACTTAGCATAAACATAAGAATAATATTAGAATTGAGTTCCTTAAAAAAATAAGATACCCACACTACACTTGTAAAAGAAGGGATTCAATGCTTAAAGAAGAATTAATAAACTTACAATTAAGTAAGTACCTTATATATATAGAATTTTAAATGCAAAAAAATCGTTACAGGAATATTGATTGTTGAGAGATTTTAAAATAAGTTTTTTTAAGGTGATCATTAAAAAAAATACTAAAGTCTCTCACACTAGTTGTGACACAGGAGAAAATCCTAACGTGGGGCAACGTTTATTTAAAAAAATGAAATGAAAAAAAATGAAAACCAATTCAAAAAGGAGGATGTATAATCCTTTTAGGTACTTAGGCTGAATAATATAAATGTTTGTGTTACCTTTTTAATTCTGAAATTATCTTTGTCTATTATAATTTACTTAGTTTAAAAGTAACAAGTTTTATTTAATACTGTTTTTAAAGTGCCCTTAGATGTATTGAATTATATAGATACATTTTAGGTAAGACTCCGCCCCTAAGGCTACCCACTGACCAAGATATAAATAATATGTTCTTTATTATTACTTAGCATAAACATAAGAATAATATTAGAATTGAGTTCCTTATAAAATAAGATACCCACACTACACTTGTAAAAGAAGGGATTCAATGCTTAAAGAAGAATTATAAACTTACAATTAAGTACCTAAGTACCTTATAATATATAGAATTTTAAATGCATAAAAATCGTTACAGGAATATTGATTGTTGAGAGATTTCAAAGTAAGCTTTTTTAAGGCGATCATTAAAAAAAATACTAAAGTCTCTCACACTAGTTGTGACTAATTCAACCAACTCCCAATTCCAATTGTTTTTTTTTTTTTGTACACAACAAACATTCAGACGTGTAGGTACCAATTTCATCAAAATGAGTGTAAAAGTTTTGAAAAATTAAACTAGTTCAAACACTGTAATACGAAATAGCCAGTGATTAGAAAAAAACTTAAGACTTACTTAGTTCTTGAGCTTCAGTAGTGCCCTTTGTCAGTGCTAATAATATTAACAAATGCACCACGCACAGAACACAAACTTTATCACTTAACATTTTCACACTAAAAGTTATTTGTGACATAGTTTATTAATGCTAGCTTTCGAGCTTTTCGAAGCTAGAAAACGTACATATTACTTAAATAATAAGTTGCATTATGTTCAAGCAACAAGGCACTGCACATCATTCCACGAACCAAACACTTGTCCTCATCCAATACAAGCACAACTTGCTTTGAATTTGACAAACAAAAAATACAAGTTTTGCATTGACACTGACAGCGCGTCAGCCATGACAGTCAAAAGGAAACGTCAAATACATGTAGTCTTTTTGTCTATGGTAGATAGACGAAACCAAATTATTTATTTTATTTTATGAATAACGTCTATTATTAATAATCGATTAATATATACTATATTATTTGTTTCTTTCCAAGTTATCCTTACTCACTGTAATATTTGTAGTATCTGCCTGTATCTAGTTGCAGTTGAAGCTAAAGAATTTTTATTGCCTAACTTGTGTAGCTGACAACATCGTTTCCGGTGATAGAATATATTAAATTGTCTATTATTTTAAAGACCCTGTTATAGGTATTATGGTGTAGGTTTTTATGCTTAGGCCACACTAACGGGAATTGGGTAGTTTCTTAGGTCAAAGTATTAAAAAATAACTATACTTTTATTCATCGATCTATCGATTCACAAAATTTTAGAAATTTTTTAGCAAATTTTTAAGAAATTAGTACGCTATTTGATGCAAAAATATTATGACTTCATAACTCCATGCTCATTACTAATTTCATAGGAAAGTATCGTTTTTGCCATTTGTATAAAAGTATTGAATTTGACTAGTTGGAAACTACCGTATTGTCAATAATTATCGCGATAATTGATGACATTGAACAATGAAAAATATACCTTAAAACCTTGTTTAGTGATCAAATTACACCTACGATTAACGTCAATATCTTGATAATTAATGACATTTTCCGTTATTGTGTATACCTTATTTACTTTGAAAGCACATCCTGAACATACTCGAGAAGTCCAAAAATTACAACTTACTACCATGAGGCAGCCAAAAACACGCTCGACTATTCCGTTAACTAAAATGTAACGTAGTGCTTATATTCTCTTTGTGTAACGCTTCTAGTCAATTGTAGATATTATTTCTTAATTTTTAAAAGCTTTATATCAGACACTATTATGATAAAAGATGTTATATATAATTATATATACGTTTGAAAGTTTTTCAAACGTATATATATTATATATATAACATATAAATTAGCGGTAATTAATGATAAATATAATTTGTCTTCACCCACGTTGGACGGGCGATTCTTACCGGCTAAAATACCAAAAGATATTATCTATGTGACATAATTATCCCCAAAAGGACGGCAACGTGTTTGTAAATCCTCGTGGGTGTTCATTAGCGGCGCTGATTGCTTACCATCAGGTAATCCGTCTGCTCTTTTGCTGTCCTATCACACCTTCCACACATAATTTACAAATATCCCCTTACGAGAATAAAGAAGCAAACACTTGAAATTCTGTGCTTCTACTTTTAGTTGCTCAAATAAATCTGGATTATATTACAATTATTTAATAAGCTTGTACATATTATATACATACACACATTTAACAAAATATATTAATCATAATTCGAAAAAGGCTTTTAATTCTTAACATAAATAAGTAGCGTACATCCAAATTCCTCCATTGATGAGATGAAAGCTAAATAAGTACTTAAGGTAATATATTTTGTCTTGGGTAGGTCTTGTGTAGTTTCTATGTTTAAAAAAGTTCATTTTAAAAAGGCATGTGACGCAAAACCGTATTGTGTATACAGCTTTATAACCAAATCTACCGCCATGGAGAAGCGTTGAGTTTTTCTTTATGCTCTATGGTCGGGGATATCCAGAACTATCGATAACTTCACTCCAGTACTTGTTTTATCCTGTGTGAGTTACTGAGTCGCAGAATCGCAGTTCAGTCATTCATTTCAAGTTTAGCTGTTACAGTGAGTAAAACTCATCGAAAACCCACCAACTGATAATGTAAGTGCTATTTTATATACCATATAATAAACTTTATGAAGAATTTAAGTACTTTTTTTAGAATTTAAGTACTAGGTTCCTATTTAGTGAAATACTTAAAAATAATGTTTAGTAATTGTTTTTGTGAGCGGCATATCCGCTCTAAAATTGTTGTGTTGATGTGTTGATTACGTGTAGAGATAGAAAAGAGAGAGGATTCAGTTTTGTACCATATTTTGTTATTATTCATACTTATAACAGATCAATTTATGAATAAGTGAATACTTTTTTGCGTTGTTGTATAGCTAGCTTCTGGGTTGATAATGCAAGCGCCATAACGTTGGTACCGCGGGCCCCGTGGCCCCGGATAGTACATTAATCTATAGGGTAAGAGTCTGACGCACACTCCCTCTAGTCAGTGACCGCATGGTTTCCCGCTGACAAAAATAAAACTAATTTTCGCACGCGGCACTGTCTTGAACAATAGTACTTACAGAACCCTTTTCCGTTATCTCAAATTGGTACACGTAGGTAAGTCATTAAATAAATAACCTAAGTGTAAGTTAGTTAATCATATCTAAGTAACTCAGTTCTGCACTAAGGTATTTGCATATAAATTTAATATTACGAGTATTTTAATGTCCCAGTAGGTAGCTTCCACGGTACCGTATCCAAACGGTCGTCCTTTGCAACGAAAATTGGCAGTTTTCAAGGTCAATAATAAATGATTAACACTTTACAATAAAATCAATTATTGGAATAAAATGGGTGTGATGTGTATGTGGATTTGTGTAAAAAATGTTTGTAAACGCACCTACGACACAGGAGAAGATCCAAGTGTGGGGTAACGTTTTTATTAAAAAAAAAAAATACTGTGAAAAAAATACTTGAGTTTGACGATGTACTTAATCATTGATTTTTTAAATTTAAATAAGTATTCTATTTGACTTATGACAGATTTTTCAATAGTCAGATAAATGTTAACTATCTGAGAAATGTAATAATTGCTGTCACTGTCTTATACAAACATTCTGACGCGACAGCATTAATGAGTCACCGTGGCCTCGGCCCAGAGCAGGAGAAGGAACGTTTTTAGTCAGTAACAGTCTGACACTCTTTCTCGCCTAACCCTGGGCGGAAGAAGTCATTTGATGATTTTCCCCTGACAAAAAAAATGTGTCTATGGACGCTGCTTGCCTACGGTCACGTAGGTAATCCGTCTGCGTGTTTGCTGACCTATGACATACAAAAGGATAACTCGGAAAAAGTCACTAAGTAAATATCATTTAGCATAGGAACCGGCATCCTCACGCATGAGTACAGTCGTATTTTTAATGCATGCATGAGTACCGACTTCAAATATACTTCAGATAATTATTAAAGTATTACTTGGTACTTACATAAAACAGCGGGTTTTTCCCGTAATTAAAGCCTATTGGAACTCCTTAGGTGACGCACACACTCACTGCATTTAAGTTATTATTGAATAGGTAGGCACTTGTAATATTTATAGATACTAGTTATCTTTGTGATAAGTAGTTCTACAAGCGAGCAAACGGATTACCTGATGGCAAGCAGTCAATTTTCAGGATTTGAAGATTTTGGGATTGGGGAGGGATTGCAATATTTGCCTAATCCCAAAATCTTTAAATCCCTTATCCCCAAAAGGTCGGCAAAGCACTCGTAACTCCTCTGTTGTTGCGGGTGTCCATGGGCGGCGCTGATTGCTTACCATCAGGTAATCCGTCTGCTCTTTTGCTGACCTATACCATAAAAAATGCCAAGCAGGCGAGCATACAGCCTAACTTGGGTTAGGCATATAAGGATTCGGGGCGTTTGGGGATAGTTGGAAGGCTTGGGCTAAACTACCAATTTAAAGTTCCTGGAGTGTTAGAAAGAATGTCCCCGACAGGAGGCAAGGAGCTGTGTAAAAAAATATTTATTTATTTATTTATTTAACACTTTATGTACATATAAAAAAATACATACAAAGGCGGACTTAATGCCCGAAGGCATTCTCTACCAGTCAACCTCACGGGTGATGCAGAGAAGTGTTAACAATAGGTTCTAAACAAGCACACAAATGATTAAAAAGCATAGGCATATAAGGCAACATATACATATAATACAAAAATATAATATATGAATACAATATATATAACCTACAAATACACATATAACATATAAATAATACATAAATAATATAATTAAATATGGGAAGAATAGATTACGAATATATACAATAACAAAAACAACAATACACTAATTAGTGGAATCTGTCAGTTTCTCTAGCAAATAATTGTGAACTTTAAATTTGAAAGATAGCCGACTGGTTGCCGTCCTGATATCCGTGGGCAACGCATTCCACAGCAAAATTGATTGGACAGAAAAAGAATAATGGATAAAGTCTCGACCAATAAGATCTTCTCAATATAATACATTGTAAATGTCTTGTGTATTGTAGCTACTACGGGGCTCAATAGTTACAAGCTTCTAACTTCCACGAAACGGTAATAAAACATTTATTGTTAGGTACCAATCATTTTCTGACTGTTCTCTGTTGCAAATCATTGTGCTTTGTGATAAGGAAGGATGTTGATAATACTGACTAGTAGCTTGTTACAATGTATTATATTATTATTTACCCAAAATTCTTAGGTAGGCACGTTTAGTTTAAATAAATACATTTTGGTACCCTCCTTTATTTGTTTAAGATTATATAAATATATATACTTTATTACGAAAGGCTAAGTTTGCAAATCTGTGAAAGAAATTCTCGACTTATATGAGAGCTAATTTTGTCACTTAATCGCTACGTGTGTGTTGAAACGATATAAATGAAAGAACAAAGCCATGTATTAGGTAATAAAACCAGTCAATCATACTAATTCATTTATTTCGTCTTAGTTACATCATCAGTTGAAATAAACGTAAATACCGCGCTTGGCAGATAGCTCAAGGAACGCACTTGGGTCCTAAATTTTTTGAGATTCTGCTGTCGGTTTTCACGCCTTGTGCCATGTTCTTTTTTGCACTGACATTTCGTCAAACTCGAGACGTGGAAGAGTGCATAAGATTTACAAAGAGTATATGTAATAATTATAGTTATTGTGTATACAATAATAATACCTTATACAGTATAATCTAGGAACTGATTATTTGAATAGATTACAAGTACCAAAATGAAGTGTAATCATTTATTTTATTTGTTGTTAATATGATTATTGATAAGATTGCTTGTTTAAAAAACATATAACATAACTAAAATTGATCAATATATTTCATCATCCAAAAATAAAAAAAACGTGACATCAGGTTTTTTTCTTCTATTTTGATTGCTTTTATACATATAGACGCTGAACTTAAAGTAAAATACTCAAAAGATTCATAAAAAATTTGATACCTTACTTGCTATATTTTCTAAATGTAAATGTAAAGAATCATCGTGGTAATGACTTTGATGGTCATTACCACGGCCTATAAGAATACCGGCGTCAAACAATGCTTGCGTTGTGTTTCGATATGAGGGCGAGAATGTCAGGTTATCAGACTCCTCGTTTGCGGATTTATCAAAACAAAAATAGAATACAATGACAAACCAACATCTCATTGATAAAAATATATAATACTCCAATCTGCCTTATCTAATCCACCAAGTAATAAACAATTACTACAGGTATCTAATCTTTTAGATAAATCTTGCGACAGAAAACATATATATTAAACAAATCACAGTTAACCGATTTTATTCCTGCCATATTGATCACAATGATACATCATAACTTTGAAGGCAATATCTCCAACGTTAATGACCGACAGTTGGAGTTCATTAAAAACGTTATTGACGATCTCGGGTTTAAGGACAGTAAAGTGACATTTGAAGCAGTTGGTGCAGCTGGAGACAATTATGCTGCGACAGTAAAAAGAGTGATCGTAGAAGGAGAAAATGGAAAACTGGGCATGATTGCAAAAATAGCCCCGGCTAATGAAAATATGCGACTCCGACTGAACGCTCCCCTCACATTCGGCAATGAACAAATAATGTATCAACAATTCTTGCCAAAGTTGACACAACTTCAGAAACAAGCGAACATACCAGAGGAAGAAATACTCAAGTTTCCAAAATGCTATGGATCAAATATTGAGGCGCCTAACGAAGTGATTCTTCTCGAAGACCTTAAAGAAAAAGGTTTCGTTATGATGGATAGACTGAAATTCCTATCAGAAGAATGTGTGACCAGTGTACTGAAGAACTTGGCTGTACTTCATTCGCTTTCATACGTGTTAAAGAACAAAGAACCGGAGACCTTTAATTACTTCAAGGCCAATTTACAAAATTTGTGGGCAACGTTAGCAAATGCCCCTCCCGAAGAGCTTGCTTCTTTAGAATCCATAGAAGAAATTTACATGAATTTAATGGATAATGAGGAATACAAGAACTTGATAAGGCACAAAGTACGTGATATTGGAACGTTAAATGTTAAAATGTCGGCATTAGAAGCTGGTAGCAAATATGCAGTCATACATCATGGTGATGCTTGGACTACAAATTTTATGTTCAAGTATAGAGTAAGTAATATTTGTTCTTTTAATGAAATTGTAACACAACTAATCAAATTTAATTTTTAAGTTTATAAGTTGAATTTGAATAACAATCAACTAAGGTCATCGAGATGAATACCAACCTACAATTTGGTAAACCTATACTAATTAATAGACCATATTTAAAAATGATACAACCTGATTAATAATTTCATCATTTTATTAATTCTGATTCTTGAGAAACACTTACATTGATAAGAAGGTAATCGTAAATGCACGTGATTCACAAACTTAATCATTTCAGGGTGAAGAATTGGAACAGTCGATATTAATCGACTACCAACTGTCCAAGATATCAAGTCCAGCCAGTGATCTCTTGTATATGATATTTAACTGCACAGATATCGAGTCCAGAAGGAAAAACTTCCACAATTGGTTGGATTACTATCATTCGGAACTTGACAAGTCATTGTCAAATCACGGCCTGAAAGCCAGCTATGTGTACTCCAGAGAGTTGTTAGACGCTGATTTGAAAAGATATGGAAAATTAGGATTTGGAAGTTGTCTCCTTGTGTCTAGCATTATGACCGCAAATTCTGAAGAGGCTGCAAAAAATGAGAGCGGAGGGCAGATGGTTTTTATGAAATCCACGACAGTACAGCTGGTCTCTTAAAAAAAAGGATAACTGGTCTTATTGATGATTTTTATACTTTTGGCCTATTATGATTTTCTTCGCAGTGAAAGTAATTATATCTAACATCTAGGTATATATACAGATTTTCTGATTGTAAAATCTACTGAAAATAAAGATTTATTCAATATACATAAGAGACTTTGTTTGGTTACTGAGCCGACCGATACAAAAGCTTCAATAAATAAAAACCATACGATCCTGTATTTTTATAGGATAGGCAAATGAGTAGATGGGTTAACTGTATAGTAAGCAATCGGTGCCGCCTATTGACACCCATTACAGGAAAGGAGTTGCGAGTGCTTTGCCGGCCTTTTAGGGTTTTGGATATTAAAATTTAAAGATTGAAAAAGGATGGGCGGACACACGTCGAAACACAACGCTGTGGTTGTTTCACGCCACGAATGAGGCCGTGATATAACTTCAGTCGAATCGACCCATTGGTGCCGAAGCATAGCTCTCCCACTCTTAGAATTATTAGTAACAATAGCTGCTATCTCTATACTGAGTCAATGTTTATTTTCTTAACTGCATTCGAATTAAACGTATCAACTGTAGCATATTAAAAAATATTTTAATAAAGAAAAAAATGGTTTTTTATTCCCTACATTTATAATTTATAGGTTTGACATCCTCCTTTTATAAGATGCTTATAAATAACACAGTGACACAGTATTCGGTAAACTTTACGTTAAGCACAAATTGTGTACCTACTTTTTTGTTTGAAACTGATCAACATATCATTATCACGGCTGGATTTAATTATCTTATTTTTTAAACGTTGCCCCACACTAGGCTTTTCTCCTATGTCCGTGGGTCAGTTTAAAACATACAAATTCACATACATATTTTTGTTCCATGCGGGAATCCTTGACATATTTTAAAATACATTGGTAACCAGCCATCTATATTCTTCATACAGACGGTTGGCAGTTAATAACTGTGCTATTTAGAATTCAATTCATCTTACCGATACGCCATTCAAATAAACCTTCAAGAAACTAGCATACTCGCGCTTACAAGACTTTGGAATTGCAGGAGTTCATAGTTGGCGCTAATAACTTACCACCAGGTGATCGTCGTCTGCTTACTTGCCTTTTTTGTCAGCGGAAAATCAAATGAGTAAGTACTCCCGCCCAGAGTAAGGCGAGAGAGCCGTAACCGCGGCTGAACATCAGCTCTGTAGGGCCCCGTCTGAGGTGGTCTAGTAACACTTGTCTCCCACTCGGGTAGGTTAGAGATGATAGAACACCAGCTGATATAGGTACTTTTGTCAGGGGAAAATCATCAAATAACTTCTCCCGCCCAGGGTCAGGTGAGGCAGAGTGTCAGACTCTTACTGATTAAAAAAGTGTGGTAGAGCCTTGCTTCGGCACGAATGGGTCAACTCGACCGGAGTGATACCACGGCCTCACAGAAAACCGGCTTGAACCAACCACAGCGTTGTGTTTCGCCGTGTGAGTGAGGTTACCGAATAGTACGAGAGCCCACGACCAAAATTTTTGTCTCATAGCAATACGACCAAAACCGCATCAAATCGATAGATACGATTATCTTGAACTCAAAAATACCAATATCAGAAATTTTCCGCGTAGCGTTTGATCTGACCGAATTTTCAAAATTGTCAAAGAATTTTACCGAACTGCATCATAGCAATATGTCTGATTTGCAGACTGCAGTTAAATGATAGATCTGAGATACCAGAAACATATTTTTCAGACGTTAGTGGTGTAGCACAAACCCGTAAAATCACTTACAAAAATAAAAAATGAGACAAAAAAAAAATGTCTGAAAATCTTTTTTATTAGTAAATTTTGGTTATTTGATGCGAACAAAACAATTATCAGACGGAAATGTGAACGCATTAAATTTTTAAACCGTTTTGAAAATGTTAACAAATTTTACCGATCGGTATCATAGCCATATGTCTGAGAATTGTTGGACATGACAAAATTAGTTGTCCACATGTGCAAAAAATTTATATCAGACAAATTAAGTGTAGCACCTTCTCTATCAGACAACTTTTCGATACCCAGATATCATTTAAAAATCGTATTGAGGCATCTTGATTTTTCTGTTACAAATCAATGAATACGTAGCGTCCCTGAATTTATTAGATGATAATTAACAAAGAATTTACCTGAAACCGTAACATTGAAGTTGAAGGACTGAAATAAATCACACAAAAGGAAACTAGGATGAAGTTAAAAAAAAACGGTTTATTTAAAGTAACAAAATATTCTTTTATTCAATCGCTGTCGGATTCGGAATCGTCGTCTTCAAAATCACTCTCGACGTCGCTCGGGAGATCTTCAACGTCCTCTTCTGTAAAATAAACATCTTTAGTGAAAATCACGAACTTATTTATAAAATTAACAACAAAAGCCACGTAAACTGTACCTGTTGTGGATGATGATTTGTCGTCCAAAATAACGTTGCTCAACTCAGGTAGTTGGTTGCCAGAGAACCACGAAAACTGAAACCGTCCCTCGTCTTCATACCATCAATCATGGCAGCAATACGAAAAGTTGAAAAAAAAAATCATCCGTATTGCTATGATACAGGTCGGTTAAATTTGTTGACATTTTCAGAAATGCGCTCAGGCTATATGCTACGCGCAAAATGTCTGAAAACAGGTTTTTGGTAATCATGGCAGCAATACGAAAAGTTGAAAAAAAAAATTATCCGTATTGCTATGATACAGGTCGGCTAAATTTGTTGACATTTTCAAAAATGCGCTCAGGCTATATGCTACGCGCAAAATGTCTGAAAACAAACTTTTTCGTAATACAATTATAAAATCTATGTACATTTTCACTATCAGACGTATTGCTATAATACCGACTGTCTTTTTTTATTGACACAGCAGAAATGGCCTCCCACGCAGTTGCTACACTTTCGACCGTTACTACACGCGTAGTCGCGTTCAAAATCATACAATCTAACAATTTTATAGGGTTTTTGCCGTATTGCTATGAGACATGGTTTTGGTCGTGGGCTCTCGTACTAGAAGGCCCAATCCTTCCCCTCCCCCAATCCCTCCTCCAAATTCCTAATCCCTAAAAGGTCGGGAACGCACTCGTAACTCCTCCGTTGCGGGTGTCCATGGGCGGCGCTGATTGCTTACCATCAGGTAATCCGTCTGCTCGTTTGCCGAACTATTATAGGCCGCGGTGACTCATTGCGCTTAACCCGCAACCCCGGAGATGATATAGGAGTACCTTATTTCGACGCTTACGCTTCATCGTCAATCTCTTCATATATATTATTCGGTACTGGCTGCTCTAGTAGGACATAACTACATTGACAGTAAAAATGAATATTTTCAAATAATTATAAGCTGACAAAGACCTTGAAACTCCTTTTGTATGGCGGGTGTCCAAGAATGCCGCCTTTGCTGTCCTATACCATAAAAAACCTCGATTCATTCAAAAGTGACGGGCGCTTGCTATATATTTTGTTCCATTTATTTTCAGATCACCATGTCGAATCGACTACATAAGAGCGGGGTCCTCACTGGATCTTTGAACTGTTACTGCTTGGCATGTGACACCTTCTTGATGACTCATCAAGAAGCTGATGATCATGTAGGGACATCTCCACATCAGAAGAACCTTTTGGCAATCTCATACTCAGATAAATTTAAAGATGAACATATAAGAAAGGTCTGTTGTTATTGTCTGTTTTGATTTCGTATTTCCATTAAATATCCAAATATGTATAAGTAGGGACTAGCTATGTATGAAGGTATATTATAAGCTACATCAAAAGTTTTAACATATAAGGCATTGGCTAAGTATAGGAATAATGACGCCCAGGGCCCAGCTCAATATTTGGGTTTTTTTACTTCTATAGCGCATGTTCTTTTCGGTAAATAATCCAAATTAATATTATAAATGCGAGAGTCACCCTGTCTGTCTTTTCTTGACGCCTAAACTACTCACCCGATTTTTGTGAAATTTGGTACAGACATAGTTAAAATTGGAACTCGAGAAAGGATATAGCATAGTTTTAATCCAGAAAATCCCGCGGTAGCGGGAACTTATCAAAAATCCCATGACATCGGAACTATGTGGGTAAAATCAAAAATATGCAGGAATTCCACGCGAACGACGTCGCGGGCAAAAGCTAGTCTAATTATCAAGTAGCTATGAAGTCTTATATTGAACCACTGTTTCAGTTCCAAACGGGATATTACTGCGAGTTCTGCAACACACTGCTACCGACTGCCTCCAAAGTTAATCTTCATGTAACTGATGATGAGCACGTTAAAAATAAAGGGTCTTGTCTTCTAAAATCAAGGGGAGCTGGTGTTGTAGCTTTTGACAACATTTTCATTGAAGAGAACGCATGGCATGGCCTTAATGACAGTGTTTGTTCAATCTGCAACGAAGAATTCGATGACGGCGTGAAACACAAAGCGTCCGCAACACACTCTTTGAATCTGGTCTTGAAAGACGTTCAGTTTGGTGCTGCCAACGCAATCTATCGTCAAGTAAGTGAAAACTACTTTCCTGATTACGCGTTTGCTTATGGAAAATATATTAGAATTTTCACGGTTAATAGTAATTTTCGGAGTTGCGGCGAATTGTCTCTGACTTTCTAATAGACATAACAAACAAATTAGCGTTTTTTTATGTGATTTCCAAACGGGGTTGCGAGAGCAAGCGCATTTGGAAAATTCCGGAACCCTGTGGTTCCGTGAATTGAAGAGAACACAAATAGTAGTAATAAGTAGTGGTTACGTAGGTTTCAGTTTACCGGCCTTTTGTGGGCTGTTATAATTAATAAATAATAATAATAAGATGGTCATGGCTTAAAGCCAATTGGTCCACCAAAATACAAAACTAAAGAAAAAGTTTTTCAATTCCAGATAGACGACACTTCTTTGCAATGTCTAACTTGCAACAAGTTACTGGTTGCTAGTAAAATAAAAGCGCATTCCGATGATGCGCAGCACTGTGAGCTTTATGATAAACATCGCGTCGTAAGCAATGGAGTTGATCATAAAGTAGAAAATAAAATTAATAAAGAAGAAAACCAACAAAAAGCTGAAGACTCACCCATTATTGAGCTTCAAAATGGGTTAAAAAAAACAAACATAAACGAAAATAAACCCACTGAAAGCAAAACTAAAATACTTGAATCGATCACGAAGTACCAAAGTGCAGGAATCAATATTAATTTGGAAATAGAAACAGCTTACTGTAAGAAATGTTCTCAAGTAGTTAAATTTAACTGCACTGATATAGAGAAGCATTTATCTGAACATTCCACAAATGGACCAGTTGACAACGCATTGCAATACCCTTCAAATCCCGATCAAAATTTGAATAGAGTTGATATAAAAGACAAGACAGCACAACCGTCCGACAACAGTATAGAAATTGAAGAAAAAATTAAAGCTTTGGCAGACAATTCTAATGGCGAGAACGTTGAATCAGAAAAAGACGAAGATAGCTCTGATGAAGATGTTGAAAATGAAAAGGAATTTGCAAAAATCAATAATATAACTTATAACCAGAGTAACAAGCAGTCGTACTGTCGCGTATGTGAGGTACATCTGCCGGCTAACTTAAAGTCAATGAAGGAGCATGTTACAGGAGCGAATCACAAGAAACTTACCAGATCCAGTTCGACGTGTGTGCCCCAAATAAAAAATCCTACAATGCTAATAAAGAAGAAAACCGAAGACTTTATTGAGTCGCTGTACGATGTCGAAAGCATGTTCGATAGTTTATCTATTGTTAATGAGGAATATTGTATCTCTAAAAATAGTTTGACTTTTTTAACTGTAAGTCAATCACGGGATTCACGGGTACGGTGTTTACTATGCGATGTGACATTGCCGCCATATTCTGATACAGACGACCATATTAAGACGAGAAGCCATTTGAGCAAATTTATTGAAGTTCCAGTCGTTGTGTCGGTGGAAAACGAATTTATTAGAGAGGTAAGTCTAATTAATAGTGCTTATTCCTACTTAATGGTAGGTACTTAAAGGTTTAGGACCATTAATGCTTGTTTCGTGGGTGCCTAAAACATATTTAAAAGTCACGTTTGTTTCCGTTTCACTTCGTCATTCATCCAATCTGTCTTTATGAAATGTTGTATTCATAAGTTTGAAGTACAAACGAGCTGCCGGATCACATATTGATTGGTAAGCAATTGGTGCTGACCGAAGGAGTTACAAGTTGCCGGCTTTTTGGAGAATGTAGATGGCTCTGGGATACAAACCTCTTTTGCATTTTAAAGATTTGTTTATAATTCGACTGCACGGTTGGCGCGGTGACTGGGCCACTGTTTGCCGCACAACATGTCTCGGGTCCGATTCACTCACGAAACAACTCTTTGTATGATCCACAAATTGCTGTTCCGGGTCTGGGTGAGACGTGGTCTTGAAATTGTATGTTTGTAAACGCACCCATGACATAGGATAAAATTCTAGAAATAAAAATGTTACATTTGTAACAGTATTCGTACAACTTTTAATTATGTGTTATTTTTCAGGTTAAACGGGGCCTGTACCACTGTGGATACTGTGAGCTGGTCGTGTCTAGCTGGGCCGACATGGAAAAGCATTTGGAGTGTTCCGACCATAAGGACAACAGGAGGAGAGGAGAGCAGCGTTTGATAACACGTCTACCAGGCTTACAAAACTACAAATTACAGAAGGCAATTGAAGCCATGACTTTAAGAAGATTATTTAACATGTTTTAAAATACAGGTAAAGATCTAATCGCATACAACATATGGTATGAGTTTTGTCTACATCAAAAACAAAAAAATATTTTCCAAATAACTTATTATGACAACAAGTACCTATATAAATAGTTCATCCATTGAATAAATTAAATACTTAATAGTAGTTATAAATGTAAAAAAATTGTTGTGACCTTTTTAATGCGTAATATAGATTTCTCTATACCTACAACGGACTTTAACAAGTTTGTATGAAAAACTGCTATTTCATGTGTTATGATACACAAAATCTGTCAATGTTTCAGACCGCCATATCTAAGCAATACTAAAGGTTACAGATTCAATTTAAAGTGTACAAAAATATTTAAATTGTTGAAGTTTGTTAGTAGATAGCATAAAATTTTCACAATAGACGGGTAACGTTAACGAATAGGAATATCAAAGAGTATGTAACCACACGTTTATACTTTTTAAAGTGACATTTATCATTATGCCTATGATAGATACCCCTAAATAATAAATCGAAGTCAGTCAAATTTTTGTTACTGAATTCTGTAGAAATAAAAACAAATCAATATAATTTGATAAAAACTGTGTGAGAATCGAATGTGTCGAGAATTTTGAATGTCTTTGAATTGATTTGTTTTAAACGCTATGAGGCTTTAAATGTCTTACTCGAATACAAATAGTTTTTTTTTTATTTAACATAAAAACTAATCTCGTCACTCGCGTGTAGGTATCTACTTATTTTGCAAAGTAAAAGCCAAATGTAATAATGTTGTCAGCTAAAAAATCAATATTAAAAGTTCAAATAAGGGATATACTTACTAGAATATTCCTTTAATTTTCGAAATTATCTATGCTTAATTTTTTTTCGTTTTTGATATGGTGCCTGTATCATCTCTTCCGTAAAACGAAATTAATATAATTCGAGAGAAATTTTTAGTTCAAATAATTTCCAACTATGATCATATTTGGTTTTAATAACAATGGCGCTTTTATTTGGATTTTAGTGTCTTTTCCTCTCTGTTAATACAAATGTGTGTAAACTACTCAAATTTAATACTTTTTTCAATTTTGTATGAATCCTAATTATGGAATAACACGCTGTGACGACATAATTTTCTTAACGTGCATTTCTTGAATACTTCTTAAAATACGAATATTAAGAATATCGTTAAATAACGAATGTAGGTAGGTATAAGTTACATTTAAGTAGGTACATCCTTTTAAGTTGAAATAATTTCCAACCTTATATTTTAATTATAAGTGTAATTATTAAAAAAAAACATCAAAAAATCGTAGAAAATCGTTATTTTTCGAAAAAAGTACTAAATATGACTATATTTTTACTTATCTTTCTAACTATTTTTATTTTTAACATTACTTATTACTTAAAATATGTGTATGTCAGATGTTGCAACGTCTACGTCATATATTATTTTACTCTATGGTCTTCGTAGTTATCTATCAGTAATTTTTACAAATGTGTCAATTTTGTTTTAATTTTCGATATTGTTTAAGATTTTATTATGTAAGTGAATTATAAATAAACATTGCGTCGTAGCATTATTGTTTTATTTTCGTTATCAAAGTGCAGGTATGGTAAGTAAATGTAACGGGAGTGTCAGACTCTTACTGACTAAAAACCCCCCGTTCTTTCTTCTGCTCTGGGCCGAGGTCGCGGTGCCTCATTGCGCTTACCCCGCAACCCCGGCTGAAATATAACGTGTGACTACGCCTTTTAGTATTCTGAAAATCATGTTGTATACTTATTCAGCGTCGGTTTTTGTTGTAGTTGGGTTTTAGTTTTATACTTTTACTTACTTACTCTTACTATTTTGGTGTTAAAGTGTATTTGTGGCGCATAATATCAACAAAAGAATGAACTAATGCTAAGTAGCAAAAGGTATGAACGAAAAGCACATCTTTTCGTTCATACCGTCGTTTTTATGCAATCAGCCCATGAATACAAGCAAAGTCACCAGCAATATATATATATTCTATAATATAAAAATGAATCGCAAAATGTGTTGCGCATAACTCATAAACGCCTGGACCAATTTTGCCAAATCCTTTTGTTTTGTAATTATTAATGTCAGGAGAAGGTTCTTATCAAAGAAAATATTATTAGGGGAAAAATGGACCCTTTCGTTAACCCGTGCGAAGCGGGGGTGGGCCGCTAGTATATATTATATATTCAAAATGTACCAGTAAAGCGCTTTAACAGCAATATGTACCTTTTTAACATTTGTAGTTAAATCATTATCAGAACTTGCGGTGTAGCCTGCGGTAAAGAAATTTCAAATGTATCGATTTCTGTTGGTAATAGCTATAAGGTGCATTACAGCTTGCCACCGACGCAGCGACACCTATATATATAATATTCCGGACTAGCTACTGCCGCGCAGTTTCACCCGCTGCTTGGCTTCTATTAGTCGTAGAGTGATGTTTTATAGGCTATCTATAGCAATCAGGAAAATTGTAAATATCTATCAGTGAAAGGTGTCCGTTACCCAGGCCAGATGTTGTCGATAATGGTCATTTGAATCTTAAAGGTAATTAGTTGTGCGGCTTCTGTAATTGTTGCGCACATTTTTAAATTTGTTGCGCTTATAGTTTTTTAATTATTTCACAAAAACATTTCCTGCTGGCGTAACGTTACCACAGCCAGACCTTTTTCTTTTTAATGGGAATATTTAAATAAATATTAGCTATAAAATTAGTTGTCTAGATAAAGTAAATGTTGTGCCTTATTTTGTATTTGTTCTTTCTTCGGTTGCGAAGTTATTCGAGATTTTGCTGCAGTAACGTTTTTGGTTTTGCTAGATCTTTGAAATGGTTAAGCGGATTCTTATCATATTTTGTACACGACTTCCGAGGACTTAGTTTAAATTTGTTGTGCAATAACAAAACCAAAATAATGCATATTTTAAAGGTTTTTTCATTAAATAGAAAAACACTTCAATTGGCCCCAGCATTCTCAATAAGAAGTCTAAAGACTTACTTTAAACGTAATTTTAAAGCTTGTAACTGCCTTCAAATGTATGTGAAGTTTCATTAGTATCCCGTAAGTATTTAACAAGTTATGATGATATTCAGTTCTTCACGAGCACGGTCTTAATGCACGCGGTGTTATTTGGCCACTGGATTGGATATATGAACTGAATGTTATGTCAATAATTAGTTGTTTAGATCAGTTGTATATCAGTAAAATTTCAGCTCAATACATTGGATAATTAATGAGATAATACTATTAAAGTCATTAGGAAGCGAATGACCGTGGTAAGCCGACCAAGTTTAGGTGGTTACGAAAAAGCGAAAACGCAGAACATTATGGTACCTTCTAAAATATGTAGGATAGTGTTATAAATTTAGTACAGACATGTACAAAAGTTTAAAAAAAACTACATGATTATTCAAGATTTTTTACTGAAAGGTAAAACAATCATTTCAATTGAACTTTTACTCCCTTACTTATAAAAACTTAGCAACCGATTAAACATCACCCGTCCTTGTCATTTCTATTTCAAAATGCACTTCAAAAATCATCTAAAAGGTTACAAAAGTAACCTTCTGGCAAGACTGAGTGCGTTATGCAAACAATGTATTACCCCTTCACCCCACTCCTCCTGCGTCCTACCGAACGGCATGCTTTAGCGGCGATTTTTGATAATTTTGTGGAACTGGAAGATAATGTTTTCTTTTATATTAATATTATATAGGTATTTAACAGTGTACGCGTCTGTACCAAAATTGTAAGGTGTATTATACTAAACATTTCAAAAGATAGTACAATGTTCTGCGTTTTCGCTTTTTCGCAACCACCTCAACTTGGTCGGCTTACCATGGTCATTCGCTTCCTAATGGCTTTAATAGTATTATCTCATCAATTATCCAATGTATTGAGCTGAAATTTTACTGATATACAACTGATCTAAACAACTAATTATTGACATAACATTCAGTTCATATATCCAATCCAGTGGCCAAATAACACCGCGTGCATTAAGACCGTGCTCGTGAAGAACTGAATATCATCATAACTTGTTAAATACTTACGGGATACTAATGAAACTTCACATACATTTGAAGGCAGTTACAAGCTTTAAAATTACGTTTAAAGTAAGTCTTTAGACTTCTTATTGAGAGTGCTGGGGCCAATTGAAGTGTTTTTCTATTTAATGAAAAAACCTTTAAAATATGCATTATTTTGGTTTTGTTATTGCACAACAAATTTAAACTAAGTCCTCGGAAGTCGTGTACAAAATATGATAAGAATCCGCTTAACCATTTCAAAGATCTAGCAAAACCAAAAACGTTACCGCAGCAAAATCTCGAATAACTTCGCAACCGAAGAAAGAACAAATACAAAATAAGGCACAACATTTACTTTATCTAGACAACTAATTTTATAGCTAATATTTATTTAAATATTCCCATTAAAAAGAAAAAGGTCTGGCTGTGGTAACGTTACGCCAGCAGGAAATGTTTTTGTGAAATAATTAAAAAACTATAAGCGCAACAAATTTAAAAATGTGCGCAACAATTACAGAAGCCGCACAACTAATTATCTATAAGATTCAAATGGCCATTGTCGACAACATCTGGCCTGGGTAACGGACACCAGTGAAAGAATTTTAGAAATCCGACCATCGGTTCCAAAAATTATAAACCCTGTACATACAAACTTACAAATTTACCTCTTCATAAAATTAGTATGGATATCGTATATAGAAGGTATGTATGTTTTTCGCCCTTTATTCCTCGTAGGGGTTCGTACAGTTGTTATTTACAGAATGAACTTGCACGATTCTTTTTTACACATTATTTTTCATTGCCTGGACTTTAAAAAGATACTTACCTCTGAATTTGTTTCAGCTTTTCTTCTAAAAGTAGTCTGAGGATGCTTCTGGATTTGTTAATACATGACGTTAAAGTGTGGAATTGCTTATAAATGGGTAATGTGCAAAAAAAATAATTCAGTGTTCCACGACTTAGGGTTGGCGCAGGTACCTATAACGGACACGTAAAAAAATAAAACACAAAAATTTCAAGATTGTTTTAATCAATCTTACTTCTGCCCCCTTTTATCAATATATGGGAAACAAAATGTCTACAAACTATTTGTCAACTTAAGTTTAACGCAGTACAAAAAGGAATAATTTTAGACTCTCTCGAGTCGGGTAATGGCCAGCCATACACACACACATACACATCAGATACAAATGCCACGAAAAGAAAAGCTTGTATGCACATGTTTCATTTATACCCTTATAACCTTTTCTACTAAAGAAAGTAATCACAAATTATGTTGGTAAGCCCATAACACAACAACTTCTGGACAAATTTTGCCATTTTTTTTGTGTTCGTTAAAATTAGGATAAGGTTGTTATAAAAGAAAATTTTAGTACAAGTAGTTGGGAATTAGAAAAGTTCTTTTATACTCATTGCGAAGCTGCATTGACGATAACTTTTTTACTGGAGACAAAACGATACATTATGTAAGGAGCTCATGTAAATACGGGTGTACAACCAATATAGCAACGAATAGGTTGCCGTTTCTCGATATTTCCCTCATAAAAAAAACTTTTACAAAAATCTTCTCCTGATCTAAGCAATTATAGCACACAACGAATCATCGTAATCGGCCAAGCCGTTCATGAGTGAATCATAACTAAAGAAAAAAGGGATAATTTTCTTAAAAACTTAGTTTGCTTGACCCGGAACACCAATAAACAATGTGTATACAAGCATTCAATTTGTAATCATGAGATCACAAGACTCATTCAAAACTCCAATATTTTTATAAATTTAAAGTCACAATATATACAAAAACATTCGTTCTCTATATAGCTCGCACATCACAGATCAAAAAGCAAGGTACAGTCAACCGCACATCATTAGAAATCGAATTAAGCAAAAATAGTGCTTATTCACTAAGACTAAGAAAATAAAAAATAATATGTAATTGGAGTTATTCTATTGATGTGCGGTTGATTGTTGGAGGCGCATTGTTCAGTGTTTTTCACACATTTTTTTTAGAATAATAACTATCATGAGATATTCAAAATTTACAATGACTTGCTCACGTGCCATTTTGAGAAAAGCTCAACCAGTTTCAATTCACAACAACGGGACTCCTATTCATGAGCAGCGTGCGCGTCGCGGCGACATCACGCAGCCAACTGGTACACCTTACATATGCCAACACGAAACAATACGCCAAAACAACTCAACAACTGCATGCATTAATTTGGCTACAAAACAAATTGCCATTTATATCGAAGAGAATTTTTGCGATTTAGTCTCCGAGTTTTTTTTTTGAGACTTATTATAAAAAGTCGGAGTATTAAGACTAATATTAAAAAGTTATTTGGCTCCAATCTTTGAGCAACTTTTTTTTACTTTGATATGCTATGGAGGATAGAAGTATGGAATACGCAAATATATGATGGAATAGGATGATAATTTGGAAAACAGCTTGATTCTCCAACACGTATAATTGATATAATCCTTGTTCACTTCGAAATTATTCATACACTGACGTTTATAATGGATAAAAAATCTCGATCCCATTTACATCAAAATCGAATACGAAAAATCGATCTTAATATATGAAAAAATCTATGATTGAGGATTAAAATCGGCAATTGTTATCGACCGATGGCCATTTGTGACAGTAACGCCATCTGCACTGGTCAGTTTTCGTTGAGAATTTTTCAAACACGATAGTCCTTGCTTCTACCCTCCATATATGATATAAGATCACAATATGTCGTATGAAAATGTAACTACATATCACTTAACCAAATTGTATAAATATATATATTTATATAGGGTGATAGGTAGTAAGTGACCAATATTAAAATACGAGACTGTGCTCATGATAACAAACAACTTTCCCAAAGAAACTATTTTTCTATATTAACATTAGTTTTATTTTTTTACTAGTGTGGGAGAGCCATGCTTCGGCACGGATGTGTTGTTTTTATGTGATAGATCGACAAACGAGCAAACGGATTACCTAATGGTAAGCAATCAGCGCCGCCCATGGACACCCGCAACGGAGGAGTTACGAGTGCGTTGCCGATCTTTTAGGGATTAGGGATTTGGAGATTTAGGGATTGGGGGAGGGGAAGGATGCCCAATCCTTCCGGTAACGTCACTCACACGGCGAAACACAACGCTGTGGTTGTTTCACGCCGGTTTTCTATGAGGCCGTGGTATCAATCCGGTCGAGCCGACAAATTCGTGCCGAAGCATGGCTCTCCCACGCTTAAAAATATTTCTTTAGGAAAGTTGTTTGATATCATGAGTACAATTCCGTGTTTATATATCGGTCACTATATTACCAATCACATTATAGGTATATCTATCGCTAAAAATGTCTGCACCCTGGCAACGTAAACTAAAGCTACGTGAGACGTTCAATAATGACTGAGCCATAGAATTTATTATCCTACTATTATTAAGGAAAAAAATCACTTTAGCTGCCAATTAGAAATTGCATAACTAAAAATAATTCACAAGCTTTCTTTATAATAAGTTTAAGAAGTAAAAAATCCCACTACAATTGAAAGTGGACTCTATTAGTGCTGGGTAAAGTTTAATTTTATTTGTTCAGCTAGTTACTGTTGAACGTCCCGGACTAACATGGGTATGACACACCCAGATGGTCGTTATTACAACATTTATCGTATTTTATCAATTGAATATTGTACTCCCTTTTATTTTGGGCATAAATATTTAAAAAGGAATGATGTTAAAACGATAAACCAATAATTAAACTCAGCAATTTCCAAATTTCATAAAATCTTTTGGAAATATCATGAAACTTAGTACTTCTTCCACAGCGAATATGTCCCAAACGGATATATTTATAAACTGTATTTAAATAAAAACATAAAAATGACGAATATTTTTCAATGCTTCGGTACAAAAAGTACTGAGGCGACAGAATTAAAAACAAGTTTAATGTAGAACATTCTGGGTTCTGCGCCCGGTTTTTTATTGGTCGGCTACAAGACAACCAACCAACCACAGATTTAAAACGGTAACGATTTCATCACGTCAAGCAAAGCGAACACGCAATAGGCGTCCTGATTGGCCAGCTAAATAACCAATCAGAGGCCTAAAAGCGATAACTCTTAGAACTTTTACCATCATTCCTTAGTTTAAAATGTACGAGGCTAAACGAAACTTTCAAATTTCAACCTTACCTCAGTGAATGTAACGTCGAAAATCATTTGGCGGTTTATTGACTTAATATCTTTAGGCAATTTTAACATTAATCGTTTTACATTTAAGGTTGATAATTGAAATTAACGTTTAGTTTTCGTACACTGTATTATTTCCATCGGTTTTTTACATAATTCCGTTTAGTAGGAATCGACCGTAGACTCGTGATTGAGTTACAGTTTTAAGAATATCTTTGGTCAATATAAAAGTGTTCGATAGGAATATGAACTTTATATGCACACGCAAATGGTTTCATTTCGATTGACTACCAATTTTTTGGTAAATATGAAACTATATGAGAAAGTATATAATGAGTACCTTACGAAAACTCGTTGAAACAATACGGTATTTGACAACTAGTCAAATTCAATACTTTTATTCAAATTTCAAAAACGGAAACTGTTCTATGAACTTGGTATGGCAACAGAAATGTGACGTCATCATATTTTGGGTCAAACAGCGTAGGAACATTTTTCTTAAAATTTACCAGTAAAAATCAAAAATTAAGTATATTATTATCGTCAAAACCATCAATGAAGTACGCTTATTTTTAAATATTAAATTGCATTGAAATCTTGAAGTAATTTATTTTTGATCCAGGAAAATACCCAAGCAATGTCTCATTTTTACAAGATAAAATTACGAGGGAATTAACTTGAAATGTATTAATTGAAATACCTTGGTAGGCTTGACGTTTTGACAACCTGCTTTTTTTGTGAGGGGAAAATCATCAAATGACTTCTCCCGCCGGGCGGGAGGGAGTGTCAGACTCTTACTGACTAAAAACCCCCGTTCCTTCTCTTGCTCTGGGCCTTATTGCGTTGACGGTCTGCTTGTGACCACGACCCGTGCAACCAGCTCGAAACGTCAAGCTTACCAAGGTATTTCAATAAATAATTTTCGCATTAATACCCGCGTAATTAGGTATATGTTGTTCATGTGAAATGCGAAAGTTTAACAGTTAGCAATGTCCAATTGTAAATTTGTAATTTGGGAAGGAGTAATATAGTTTCTAAGGAGATACAAACGAGTAACCAGTAAACCTGATGGTAAGCATTTAACGTTGCTCAAAGACAATCGCTACAACAAAGAAGTTACAAGTACCTATGTTGATGACCTCATTGCCCTTTCGTAACAATTTAAATTCCATATATTAATGCTCTTTGGTTTTAGCGATTGAAAAGACATACGTAGGTACGTATTTCAAAAGCTATTGCTATCTCATTCTTGTATGAGAAAGAGAAATGTTTTGTTTCACTCTATCACAAGTGAGTTTTATAGTAAATCAATATAGAATCTATATTTGTCTAGAGTATGTAAAAAAAAAATGCGTCGAATTGAGAACCTCCTCCTTTTTTGAAGTCGGTTAAAAAAACATTTCAGTAATATCTAGTAATTTACAAATCAATCTTGTCCACTGGTAATGAGTCCTATCATAAAAAAAACAAAACCATACGATAAATCCAGGAACGGATACACATAAAAATGATCTACATTTTCATGGCATTAAAGTTCAAATTCACTATCTTGGCCGTATTGAGTTAAGACGTAAAAGCCCTACGTATTTAATAACAATATAAGAATATTCTTCGTTTGACAACCATTTGCCCAAAGGGACTGTTTAAGGTTGACATTCAAATTAAATAATGTTTTTACGATATTTTCCGAAGTCGCCCAATAAGTTTCGAGCCAAAGCGGCGTTCAAAATTACCGAATTAAACTTTAACATAGCTAATGATTATGAGTCCCGATGAAGCTCGAAATTAGTCAGGTAAGTTCGAAAATAGTATTTAAGTAAAAACATTACTCTGTTAACACTAAATAAATATAGGGTGATGTTTATGTATTACTTGGTTCTAATAGTAGTGGGGTGTTCATGTTGAATTTGTGGATGTTGTGGCAGACATCTTCTAGTGCGGGGGCGGAGGTGTAGGGCTCCGCTAGGCGCACCGCTCGGGCTTTGCCCTCTGTGTACACGTGTATAACGCCCCATTGCCGCAGTAAACGTAGGCAATTGCGGATCGCGTCCGTTGATACTGCTTCACCTGTAAAAAAGCATTAGAAAATGTGATAGGAACGTTTTTTTACTACCCAAGATGGCGACTGCGGTTAACTTGTCAGTGCCATTGGAATTTATAATATAATATGTTGTCTACTCGAAATCGTGTCGTGTGTTGTGTCGTGGTGGCCCGGAGGTTAAGGCGCCCGCTTCTCATGCATGAGGGTGTGGGAACGAACCTGGCAAGTACCAATGTGACTTGTTCCGAGTTATATGTACTTTCTATGATTATTTAGACACCACTGACATACGGTGAAGGTAAACATCGTGAGGAAACCTGGACTTATAATTTATAATAATAAGTCTGAAATCGCCAACCCGCATTGAGCAAGCGTGGTGATTAATGCTCTAGCCTTCTCCGTGTGAGAAGAGGCCTTTGCTCAGCAGTGGGCACTTATAGGCTGACGATGATGATGATGACTCGAAATCAATATTTTTTAAGATTTTTTTATTAATATAATGTTTTGTTTGAGTCTGTCGTAGCCCTTGACGAAATTATTGATAGAGATTAACTAATGTTTTCTACACTATGGATCTCTTGGCTTAAATAAAGAAATTAATTTAATTTAAAAAACAGTTACTAACTTCAATATAACAAATTCCAATTTTATTTATACACATGTATCGAGTATAGATGTATAGATTATCTCCAAACCACAAATACACTTACCAAAGAGCATCTTGTTCTGTGTGAAATCCTCGGTGAGCGAGTCGAGGGAATTCTTCACGACATCCTTCATGGTGCCGGCCTGCAGGTGTCGACAGGTCACCGAGTACGCCTCCAGTAGGGGGCGGATCGTTAGTAGTAGTCTTCGCCTGAGAAAAACACAATAAATTGTCCATCAATTCATGGTCTTATTAGAGCTTTCGGAATATATAGATCACAATCGTCGTTCTTTTTTATTATAGATTTTCAACATAATTTTATTAACGTGTGTAATGGGTCTCTCTCGACTGACTCTCACGTTCAAAAGTGCCTGTAAGGGTCTAATTGAAATAAATTATTTTGTCTTTGACTTTGATTGTATTAAAGTTTTAAAATGTATCACTTAAGAATAATTAAATACAAATAAATAAAATAAATGGTCAATCGGTTTAGGTAATTAACCAAATGTAAACAATTTTGTTTTTACCTGAATCGATTTTAGCTAACAAACTAAACTTAAATAATCTTTGTATGTTTTTATAATAACTATCGTGAGACATACTAAATTAACTAAAAATCGCGGGTTACTCACGTGTGTATATTGAGAAAAGCTCGACTAGTTTCGAACCACAGAGGGGTTCTTCCTCATGAGCAGCGTGAGCGGACGCGGCGTCGCGCCGCCTACTCAAGTAGTAGAGCTCTTCTCAATTTACACACGTGAGTAATCAGCGATTTTTAGTTAACCTTTGTTTGTATTTTATACTTATTCTCTTCGTTATTTTCATTAGTACTTCTATTTATATTGGTACATACCTCTCGGCGATGGCTTCAGGTTTGTTGGAGACTGTGTAAGTGACCCTCTCTGTGGGGTCGGGTCTGTCATCCTCGTCATCGCCCTCCAGCCGCCGCGCCATGCGACGCGACCATTGCTGCTCCTCCAATACCACTGTCGACTGGAAATTAAAGGTTTTAGGTTTATAATATTGTTTTAACTGGATTTTTTTGCTGGAACAACCCTGCCAAACCCTCATTAAGTAAGTAGCTGCAAGTCTTGTAAGCCAGGATCTACAGTAAATACAACTATGAAAACATCGAAACAATCAAATATTTAAAAAATCTAAAGTCGTTTCGGAAACATGAATGACTGTGTTGGATCCCATAATGAAATATTTTTTTTATGCAACTGCTTTGTCGTGTAAAATCTAAATAATAAATAAAAATAGTTTTCATTTCCCGTGAATTTAATGCAATGGAGGCTAAGGGATGGATGTTCGTTACTCTTTTATTTAAAAACTACTACATGGATCTAAATTTAATTTGGCACAGAGATAGCTTAGAGACTGGAATAACACATAAACTTTTTACTCCAGTTTTGTGGAAACAATTAAATTAGAACTGTATGCCATTGAAATTTAAAGCAAAGTACATAACTTGAGTATTAAAAATAAACTTTAGCGCAAATCGTTGAGCAACATGCGCAAATCATGGCGCAACTCGCCCAGATCATTGCGCAACGTGCGCAAATCAATTACCTTATCTTTGATTATCAGCTGCTGTGACTCTAACGAGTCGATGACGTCTAGGATTCGATCCTGGATCCTCTGGCAGGGTGCACAGACTATGAACTCGTGGGATAACACTTCGCACAATTGTAATGATGCACTGACTAAGTCAGAATGGCGGAATTCTTGTGATGACGTTGCACAGATCAAACTTTCAAGCGCGGTCGCTGTGGAAGAAAAAATAAAAATATAGCTTATTCACCACTTTCAGCAGTCAACTGTTTTTTATAGTAAATGTGGCTCGTTGTTCATAAGAAATAAGTTTATATATTGTTTTAATACATTGCAGCTATTCAAACTTTGTGAAACAGGGCTTTAGTTTAGTTTTTAATTTCGATTTGAAAAATAAGCTTTTTGCTTCCAAAAATTCAGTTCGATTTTATTCCAAACATTTTAGATTTAAATAGACATATAGTATTTATGGTATATCCATATATATAGTATGTTATATTCACACATTATTATAATAGTAATTTTATATAAGACAGTACGTACCGACGATGGCGGGCGCGGCGTAGTGCGCTACGACAGTATTGGCGTAGTACGCCAGCTCCAGCTGCGCCGCGATGCTCGTGCCGGGCCGGATCATGTCGCCGTCGCGCCGGACCAGGCCACGGCCTAGCATCTCCAGCTACAAAACAAATATAAAACACATATTTAATTTTAAAAGATGTGTAATAATTAAGTTTGAAGAGGTTTGAGAGCTGCTAAATACCAAATGTCACTTAGTTTGCTAGTTGGATAGCGGTTTATCGTGTGTATGCGTGATTCTTATGTTATAAGAAGAAGAAGGAAAAAAGGCATGTTGAATGGCAGCCAGTTGGCCAGCCACCGCATCAATCGTTTAGTTAAACAGAGTTAATCTATACTAATATTATATAAAGAGGTAGAATTTATAAGTTTGTATGTAGGGGGTAATGTTTGGAACCGCTGGTCGGATTGCCAAAATTGTTTCACTGATAGATAGCTACAAAGTTCCTGAGTGTTAAACATCACGCTAGGATTAAATGGAGCCGAGCAGCGGGCGAGAGTAGGTAGTATATGTATAAGCTATGGATGTCCCACATATACGTACAAAACGTTTTGGGAGCACATTCATCATGCGTACAGCCAAGGAGTGGAATTCCTTGCCGGAGTCGGTGTTTCCTGATAGCTACAATCTGGGTATCTTTAAGTCAAGAGTGAATAGGTTACTTCTAGGTAAGCGCGCTCCATCGTCGACCGCATCGTCGCTTTCCATCAGGTGAGATAGCGGTCAAGCGCGAACCTATAATCAATAAAAAAAAAAGCTTACGGCGTGCTTGAGTGCGGTGGGTGAGTCTGCGGCGTACGCGAGGTCGCGCGAGTCGTTGGCGAGGGCGGCGCGGCGCGCGGCGTGCGCGGCGGCCAGGCGGGCGGCCGGCGCCCCGCGCCGCGCCTCCGTCAGCAACACGTACGCCACCACGTTCGTACACATCAACGCCGTCGCCTGCGCCGCGTCTACAAACGGAATATCAACTTCAATAACCACATAAAAACAGTGATCAAGGCTATTATTAGATAATTTTCTAGGTCAACAATAGATTAACAGTGACACCAGAGGTATAAAAAACTTTTGGATAATTATATTTCGAAAATATTGGCATTGAGGACAAATTACTGTTATTACTCATAATTATATACTCATAATCATAATTAATTTTTAATGAAAAATATTCACGTCGTTCCAATTCCCACACTAGATGACGAAATAAGAGGCTACCTTGAAATCCAAATTCGCATCTCGACTAAACTATGCTATAAATACTACAAACTATATAACGATCTTTTATTACTGATCAAGTTCAGATACTTTACAATGTTCTACATCAAAATAAAACATTATTTAACTAAAGCTCACACACGCACACACACACACAAAAAACTTTAACATACCCCTTATAAGTAAAACTTGAATCTCAACATTAGACGTAAAAATTGCATAAAATATCGATGGAAAACTCACCATAAACCAAATGCCTGCCAATAGCTTCGACCATCATCTTATGATCAGTGCTAACGTCAGCTCCATACAAACTGGAATGGCTGTGGTTGTACAGAATCTGCCTGTCAAGGTTTACTGCCAAATTGTTGTTGGGGGGAGTGAGACAGGTCTCTATGGGCGCCTTGTAATGCTGGTACTTCTGGAATGATGTTACTAGTTCCTGGAAAATAAAATATTGTATTATTAGTTACTAAGAAGTAGATTTATTTTCAATATTTCGTTGATTAAGTGTAGAGAAAGGGTGACTGTTGAGACGATTATTGTACCAACTTATTAGATTTTTATGGCATAGGTCGGCGAACGAAAATCGGGTTTACTGATTCTTTTAATAATAAGCTAAAAAAATCTAAAATTAAGAAGATTGATCGATCGATGAATAAAAGTATAGTTATTTTCAATATTTTATTGTATTGAAACGTCGAATTAATTTATTTTTTACCTAGGAAACTACCCAATTGGCACCGGCCATGGACACTCCTGGCCAATTGGCTACCAAAGGAGTTAGTACATCTATGTTGCAGGCCTCGTGTAGTTTTGTAGGGATGTAAGGATTCAGGGTGGAGGGGAGGGGGGAACTGGAAACCCAATCAATGGGTTTCCGGTTTTCTCACTCAAACGGCAAAACACAATCTAAGTGTTGCTAAACGGCAGTACACCGTTAGGCCTTGGTATCACTCCGGTCGAGCGGACCCATTTGTGCCGATGGCTCCCCCACACTTAATTTGCGGTATTGAGACTTAAAAAAAACTTTTGATACAAATATAAAATCGCTAAGCGTAACTGCTGAGAGGAAGAATATCTCGAAAATATTCTTAATTAATAACACTTCACAACTATACTAAAAATAAAGGTACAATTAACCTTACCTTCAAAGAAATAGGTTGGTTGAAGTCCACTCGGATGCTGCCGTGGTTAGTGTTAAGCGTTCTCCAGATGCCTCTCAGAGCCGACCAGAATGTCTCCATTTGTTTGGGCATGCCCAGTTGTTCGCGGACAAAGTTACCGTCCACCAGTTTGTCGTAGTTTAACGTGGCAGGGACTAGAAGGGCATCGTCTATGGTGCCATCCAAGTAAGCGTCCATGATTACTGATAGAATTCCCGCTGAGAAAAGAAATTGTCAAAGTTAGTATTATTATTTTTATGTATACATAGTGAACGTAGTTATCTAAAACTAACTAAGAGTGTTTGTATCAGACTTGAGTTTTTTGCGCAACTAGTCAGAGACTTTGCGCAAGCATTTGCGCAAGTTGCGCATACAATTTTTTAATTTTTATTTATATTTTGAACGTAAATGTAAACACTGTTCTGAATCCATAATTATGTTTTTATTATGATGATAAACGTATTAACAAGAAAAATACGCTAGGAAAACATACCTTCTGTACGATCCAAGTAAGCGTGAACATTAAAAATGATCTTTAGCACCGATACATTAAAGACTGAATCCAAATGAATCTATATTTGACAATAAAGATATTTATTTACCTTTAGGAGTTTGTGGTTTGCCGGTCCGAGTACGACCTCCTTCGATGAAGAACTCCAAATTATTGCCAGCCGATAAACTATTCAGTATGTAAGCCCTGAAATACAAATACAACACAATATGTGAAAAGCTATAAATAAAATACTGAAACGACTAAAAACCCATAAATAGGAGAATGCACTTTTTATTCTTAGAATTTCAACCAGAGTTGAGGGTTAAGCAAAAGTAAAAAAAAGTCAAAAATAATTTATTCCAATTAGGCCCTTACAGGCACTGTTGAACGTCAAACAAAATTTTGAAGATATAGTGTCAGTCTGTCGGTCAGTCCTCTTAGAGGGGTCTAATTGAAATAAAGGATTTGATTTGATTTTTTTTACTTTTAATAGTATTGATAGTGTATGCTTACCTAAGAGCTGATTTGTAGGTGGGGTCGCCATGATACTCTGATCCTTCAACCCTGCGTCTGATATAGAACGCACCGCAACCTCGTAGGAACCAACTGTAATACAAAAAAGATAATATTAACTTAAGGTTTATTTCTTTAGTATCGGGTAAGGTTTCTAGTTTGAAGAAGAGGCTTCGATAAAAATAATATTAATTACAATATAACATATTATGATCAAATGATAATATGATTAACTAGCTATTCTCGCGCGGTTTCACCCGCTGCTCGGCTTCTACAGATTGTAGGGTGTTCTTTTTTTATAGCCTGTTTGTTTGTTTGTTTATAGCCTATAGCACTCGGGAACGTTGTATCTATCTATCAGAAAGAATTTTGGCAATCCGACCAGCGGTTCCAACCCTACATAGAAACTCACGACTTGCAAATTTTACCTCTTTATAATATAAAAAACAGCGCGAGAGTAGCTAGTTATAATTTAAAAACCACATTCAGTTCATTCAAACTTACCCAAAGAAAGGAATCCTCATATTATCACCGGCGGCGACTAGTGGAGGCCTCAATCCAGTCAGGTACAGCGTAAAAGTCATGAGTATGTAATCGAAGTGAGATCTATGGAGAGGCACGAAGACTAGGGGCAGACCGGCTGCGTTGGCGCGACGTAAACGTTCCACTCCAGCGACGCGGGTACCGCATCCACCGCCCGCAACTCTTCGTACAGCCTTGTGGCACACCCAGGCTACGAATCTGGGGAAGAAGTTTGAAGATAGGGCTTAGTTTATTTCTAAGATGGTTCATAAAAATGTCAAACTTCGCTGTGAAATTGTATTTTCTACTGTTACGTGGTACAACGTGATGGTAAGCAACCGAGATAGCCCATGGGTGTCCATGGCAACACCAGAGGAGCCACGATTGAGTTGCCAATATTTTGGGGATAAGTGGTTTTTGGGAATAAGGGGTTTTTGGAGATAAGGTGTTTTTTTAGGGATGAGAGGTTTTTGGGATAAGGGGATTTTCGGCATTCGAGAGAGTTGGGTGGAGGGGGAGGATTGGGATAAATACATAAATTTAATAATATTAAACCAAGATACGAAGCACTATTTGTGAATACTTGTTACGTGCGGGAATCTAATGGCGCAGTACAGCAGCCAGTAGTAAGTAAGATATCATGTTTAAAGAAATTCCTTACTTAAAGCAAATACAATAAAGTCGCAACTCACTTGAGCACATTATTAGACATGGCGGAGCTGATGTCCTGTACTACTTTCAGCGCGCGAGCTTCCACCCGCTTCCGTATGGTGGCGTACTGAGCGCCACTCTGACCATTATCTTTGGCTTTAGCTAATTCTTCTTGTGTGGCCTCCTCGATTGCCTGTTCTACGCTCTCGTCTTTAACCACCTGAAAGTAGAAATAGCATACTATTTCAGTATCAAAGGGCCCATTCTAGAGACTATTCGAGTACCTATATAAAAGCTAAGTTTTTGTTATAAAAAGGTAATTTATGTTACCAAAAAAAAAAAGGAAGAAACCATCTAAAACATAGCTTAGCAAGACCTAAACACCACACCCACGTCTTTCTCTCTCTCTTATAAAGAAATAAAAGAGATGTGACTAGTTTAGTAGATTGATAAAAAAACATCATTATAACAATCATGAAGACGAACTCTTGAGTTCTTGAAGATATCCTTTTTTACAATTCATATCCTTATCCTGTAGGTAGAAGAGAACACTCAAGCACGCGATGTCTTTGATGTATTTATTGCGGGCCAGGTTATAGCGAGGCCTTGGTTTTATTTAGTAGGAATCTGGAATCCACGCAGGGTAGGAGAAATCATTGAATGATTTACAAGCCATAAAGAAGACAGAGAAGTCTACAACATCACACACAATAAACCACCCCTATTTCACCAATTTTGCAATATAAGAACGACAAAAAAGAAACTTACATTGGGAACAATGTCCTTATAGTCGTAGGCGCACAGGTTGCAGCACTGTGCCAAGTCACACAGGTAGCGTGAGACCACACCACCATTCGCAAAGTTCTGCCGTCCGATGTCCAGGATATTGATGACGGCACCCGTATCCCTCACTTTATGGTCCTGCCATGATTCCTGGGGACAAGAAAATATGTGTAAGATTTATGATAATGTACTGCACTTATTCAACATTAAGGGTGTGTCCGTTGCGGGGCAAGCGCAATGAGGCACCGCGGCCTTGGCCCAGAGTAGGAGAAGGAACGGGGGGTTTTTAATTAGTAAGAGTCTGACACTCTCGCTCACCTTACCCTGGGCGGGAGAAGTAATTTGATGATTTTCCCCTGACAAAAAAAGGGTGTGTATTTACCGGGGTCGCGAGTCAAGGGTCGTAAGGTACCGCGGCCTCAAGCTGGAGCAGGAGTACGTCTTCATCATACTTCTATAAGTAACAATACAGTCTACGGCCCCCCTGAAGGTTACCTTAACAACCGTGCATGATCCGGCTCGACCTCCAAAAGGCCGGCAAGCCACTTTTCACTCCTCTGGTGCAGCGGGTGTTCATGTGCAGCGCTGATTGCTTAACATCAGGTGATCTAGTGGTGATCAATTCTATGTCTACGTTAATCAATATATCATTCAGGCTGACCCCTAAGTTTTGTCTAGTAAAGTTAAACATTCGCTTCTCGCTAGGTTAGGCAGATTAAATTATAATTATTACAAAATGCGTTGAATACGTCACACGCATAGATATAAGAAAAGAGTTTTTTATATGTCTGTGGTCACACGTGTAGCCAAGTTACATACAAATAAACACTTTAATTCTTTTGTTATAAGATACTTTCTTGACTGAACGGTTAAACTGGTGATATCTATGAGACATTGTTTGAACAATTGTTTAATATCATTGTTAATGAGTAGAAGACATCACGATACCATCCACAATATTATGTGGAGCGTGAAATATTACTTTATAAATGTGGATTACAATTTAATATAGCTACTTTTACCTAATTCGAAATTCAAATTGTAAAAAAATCGCAGTTAGCTCTGGATAAACGAATGTATTGACAGATATCCTAAATATAATTAACTAGCTTCCGCCCGCGGCATCGCCCGTGTGGAATGTTGATAAAAAGTAGCCTATGTCCTATTCCGCAGTGCATCTAAGGCCTGTGCCAAATTTCACCCAGATCCATTCAGCTGTTTTCAACAAACATCCTAACCTCGTAACTTTCGCCTTTATAATATTCATCATTCTCCTAATCAAAACACGTTTTACTTTTGTTTTTTAAATAACAACATATTTCGTTGAATTAGTGATGACATTGTAGATTCGATCAAAATCACACCACAATAGTATCGGAAGAGTATTCGTAATACTATTATTAGATTAGATAGAAATATGTATTATTAAAAGTTAAAGAGTCGCACTTTATTCCCAATTTGTATTTAAATTACCTGGCAGCAATGTGATATTATAAGTAAAATGGTATAGATAGGTTACATAAACAACATTCGATTTTCAAAAACTGCACACAATCGTATGATACGCGTTAAAGTGGGATGGCATGATTCAATAATCGCGAGTGAAAAAGAGACAAATATGAAAAAGTGTGGCTAGTAGTTAGCCACATTTTAATGTATCACTTGCTAAGTGCTTGTAACCTATCTACACCTTTTTACTTATAATATCGTTGCCTGGCAGATTATGTTGAAATATCAATATAAATCCAAAGCAACAAAGAAAATATTTTTTTTTATTATACACATATAAATATTTTATCTTCCTCCGACTCTACTATTACTTCCTTACTCAACATATTCAAGTCCTAACTATTACAATCATAAAATGACTAACAACCAAAAAAGTTGAGCTAGTATAAAAAAACTTCATTGATAAGCCTTGTTTATTTAAATAAATTAATGGATCAACAAAATTATATGTATCTTTAATTCTATATAAAAGAATCACCATCATAGAATCTATACATACATAAAACTTTGTGTGTTCATACATATATTACGAATATAATTAATTTTGGCATGAAAATACATGTATGACTCCGTCAAATGTAAGTAAGTAACTAAGCCATGAGGGCAATTACTAAAAATACCTCAGAAACGTGTCAATTAAGAGGGTCAACGACCTGACCTTGATCGTCAGATTACTAATACTGGTGATATCGAATTTATTATTTTTGCATAATACCTTATGCGATACGAAAATGTAAAAGCGGTGTAATTTAGTATTAATATTTTGATTGAATTTGTAATAAGAGAATTTACTTTCCTCTTTTTTTTAATCTATTTGAATTTTTGTTGTCTTTTTTTTATACCAAGTATAAAGACTGTTAGTACCTATAGTAAGTCTGTTAAAGATACGAGATACGATAAGTAAGTACTTAAAAAATATACAAAATTGGTTCAGCCATTCGCGACTTCTGCGTTTAGGGACACATTTTACAATTAATTTATAATAATATCAATAAATTATGTATGCGATATAAAAACACACATAACATTTTGCTTAATAAATATAAATACACTTAAATATGAATAAAATATATTTTTAAAATGTAAATTGAATAAAGCGTTGTATGTTACATAACAAGCAATATATGTACAAGTCAATGTCATGAACATATTCGAACGATAATAAGTGCGAAATAGCATATAGTGTCGTAACATACATTATGCTAATATTGAAATAGACAATCTAAACAGTCAAAGCTGAGAAAGATATGACATTGACATGAGTTCTACGGAATATTTATTATGTAAGTACGCATTTTATAATCCTACAAATATTATAAAGGCGAAACTTTGTAAGTTTGGATGTTTGTTACTGTTTTACTTTAAAACTACTGAACCAATTTGAATGGAATTTGGTACTGAGATAGTTTATGGTTTGGTATAACACATTGGCTTTTTACCTTTGGTACTGCAAGCAGAACTGCTTATTGTAACAAGTATTATTTTATGTGTAAGATTGTATGGTGATTCACAACGACTAACATTTATTATGTATATTATAAATGAAAGTGTTTTGTTTATAAATTAACAATGTTACGGGAGTTTCATTAGGAGGAAATACTAATGCCAGAGTCGGGAACGAATTCATCAAACCCCAAGCGAACGCCGGCGTTCTCGTACTATTGTGCCTCGAATCACCACGATATCAAGGTTAAGGCCCAGATATCAAGGCAACAAGATTATGGTACTCCGCCAATGTCGCCGATAACGTATTTTTTTTTGTTGTTAAAAACATAGATATCTATTATTAAAGACTATCTTTACAGACTATTTTTTCTGTTTACGGAGAAATTGCGACATGAACACATCGACAACCGTTTGTATTATTATAAGAAAAATATCTAGATTGATAATATTATGAAAGATGAAGTAGGTAGGGAAACGTAAATAGTTTATCGCAGTATAAATAGAGTGCGAGACGAGACAAAGTTACACGTGTGTAGATAAACGCGCGTTTATAATTAAAATAACATCTCCTGTTTATTATTCTAAGGAGTATCAACTATTACCATTTTTAACCCCCGACTATTTTTAAAGAGGGGTGTTATAAGTTTGACGTGTTTGTCTGTCTGTGGCATCTTGGAGCCTGAACCGGTGAATCGATTTCAATTTAGTTTATTTTTTTATATTAAAGATTAATTACGTGAGAGTGTTAGACATGTTTGACGATAATCGGTTGAGCGGTTTAGAAGTTATAGGGGGGTAAGTGGGGAAGGGTAATCGAAGGTGTGCAAATATACTCGAGTGGGGTCTCAAATGAAAACGCACTGAAAAGGAATGTTGATGACTGAATCGAGAGGAAATGATATAAAAAGTATAAAATATAAAATAAATTAGACCCCCGACAAAATAGAAATATGCAGTTGATAATAAAATGTATGGATCGGTCCCCAACGCCACGTTTTCTTTTAATTATTACTTTTAAAGTAATACTTATTAGATTTTTTGTCCGGGGTTTTCTAAATTTTAAATTTATAATAGTTATTGAATTGGTTAGGTCGGTCAAACGTGCAGCTGCAGAAGGATCAAGCGATCAGCACTGCCCGTGGACACACGCAGCCGATACTAGCGGAACAAGCCGAGTAGCAAATGTGTTACTTTTTGATTTGCTATCTTGTGGTGAAAACAGACATCAAATGGCAGCCTGGTCCTATATTTTAAGGTACCGCGGCCTCGGCCTGGATCAGGAGAAGGAACAAGGGAATTTTTAGTCAACAAGAGCCTCACAGACCCTCTCGCTCGCCATACCCTGGGCGAGAGAAGAAATTTGATGATTTTCCCTCCAAAAAAAGCGTGGTCCTATATATTTTAAACCTTTTTATAAAAGATAATTTCTAAGACTGATGTAGGTATCGCTGTCATACATTACTTTTGACTATTTGCATACAATTTTGTTTATAAACACAATTTATCATGTGAACTTGACTTGACTATTTCAATTTGTAAAGAAAAACATAGATTAAGTGCGCATGTACTTGCAATTGAACATCAAAATGATATCCTATTGTGTACCTCGAAAAGAAATATGCCATTAGTTATCGGATAAGCAGATAAGGTGTTTAAAGACTTGGAATTTCGAATAATCGAATAGAAGGCGCCTTCAATGAGAATCGATAATGCAACGATTGTTTAATCGTATCGGAGGGAAAGGTCGACGCACTAGCCGCGCGGGCGCCGCGCGTCGGTTGGCCGCGGCGGTGTCACGCCACTCGCGTCCGCCGCTTTGTGTTTAAATTTGGAATATAAAGCGGCCATTTTAAAGAGGCGATTGATCAACGATGAATGAATGAACATTGTTAGCTTGTTGCCATACTTCTGATATCTGTTACTTTTATATAAGGTATTCGGTCATCTGCTAGTAAAGAATATCAAAGGTTATCTTAGCTGTCCAACATCACGCGATGACTCAACTATTATTAATTATTTATAAGGAAGGCAACAGGTAGTCAACGGCATTAAAAATTGCAAGTCGCAATAATGATAACTACATTATAGAACACGTGTCTTATAGATTTGATTGTTTTTAAATTCCGAGCAAATATGATGAAATATTTTAGTAATATTGCAAAAATACGTTTGAAGAGGACACCTTGGGTGGTGAA